CTAAGGATCTTTCTCGAAAATCCTGTGGTGTATACCTCCAGTCATAATTCTACCGTGGCAGCATATAGCTACGAAACATGTCCGCCACGGCTCAGATCTGCGGTGACACGACACCCTAGTGTAATTAACCCTCTGTATGCGTGCGTGCGTGCGTTTGTTTGGAATTAAGCACAAAGCTACACGATGGGCTATCTGTGCTCTGCTAATAACAGGTATCGAAACTCGATTTCTAGCGTTGTAAGTCCGCAGACATGCCGCTGTGCCACTGGAGGGTACGTGTGTGTATAAACACATTGATAGAGTATTTTTTCTGGTGTAGTCAAGTTGTACAAAGCTTATGTAACAATACGTACTTTTGTTTCCTCCATTCCTTGAGTGCTACAAAACCACTTACTTTGCCTACAATGTTTCAGTTATTTCGTTATCAAGTTTTATTAGGCTTATACTGGTATAGAATAACAAATAAATACCTCAGACTGATACTTCAGCTTTTAATGTACCTGTTTTGTTCAGGAAATAGCACTTAAAGCACAGCAATTTTTTTTATTATTACTATACAAGAATGCTAACATTTACAAAAGTGATATAGTAGTATAATCCAAGATAAAAACAGTTAGTAATTCAATTACATTTCAACGCCATCTATTATCGTCAAAATTATCTGTACAACTAAAATCAGAGTGCCCGGCATGGCCAGGTGGTTAGGGCACTCGACTCGCAGTCCGAGGGTCGCGGGTTCAAATCCCCGTCACACCAAACATGCTCGCCCTTTCAGCCGTGGGGGCATTATAATGTGACGGTCAATCCCACTATTCGTTGGTAAAAGAGTAGCCCAAGAGTTGGCGGTGAGTGGGGATGACTAGCTGCCTTCCCTCTAGTCTTACACTGCTAAATTAGGAACGGCTAGCGCAGATAGCCCTCGTGTAGCTTTGCGCGAAATTCAAAAAACAAACAAACTAAAATCAGTGCTATTTAAAAATAAAATATAAAATCTGGATAACGAATTAAACAAGTAGAAATTTAAGGCTATTGTAAAATGTGTTAATATTCGAAAGACACATACATGTTTTTTTATTATACACGACTTTTGCATAATAAGATATACGGTTTTTCTCATTCAAGTTTATTACAATCAATGTTAAAGTAATATAAAATTTTCTATAATTTGTATTATACACGCACGTTTTTGATAAAATGGTTTACGACCTCTATATTGTATTCTCTATGATGTTGTTAAATTTTTACACAGTGACAGTTTGAAAAACAATTACCTATATACGAGATAAAAATGAAAAATAACTGCCTCACAAAAAACAAAGACAAATAAAATAGTTCAAAGCCATGGTGTATACTAAAAAGTACTGGGTTACTTCTTGGAATGTTAAGCGCATGACTATTAACGTTACAGCGGAGCGATTTCATTAATTATCCGCTGAGCAAATACGACACAAATCAGTTCAAGTATAACTAGCGAACTGTGAACGTGGAAATACAGAGAAAAACAAAGGCCTACATTCATGGAGTAAGAATTAAGAATAATCTTTGCCAATTTTGTAGGTTTAAATCCTTCCGCAGGACCAATCACTTCTCTCTCGATTTCTTTCACTTGGAAAGCTATAAAACTATCGAATTACCACACCATGATCACGTGATGTTCCAGGAGGGTTGAGAGTGGATCAAACATGTATGTGTTTAACACGTAAATAAATGTAAGCGTAAATGGTCCATTTGACAACGAAGTTCTGCTTGTGGCGAGTGAAATGTACGAAGACGTCTCCGGTTCCATGGAGCTAGTTTTCCGCTCTGAAGAAATACCAGCTGTTTGAACAATCAGTACTAGTTGTTCTTGGTAGATCAACCGTTATGTAACAGACACGGTATTTCAACAGATTTTAATAATTTATTCCTCACGAATATTTAAAGAATGCGATAAGTCGTGAAGAGGACACAGTATACACCGAATTGTACACCTCGTACTAATTATATTCTTGCAACTGAAATGGACTTCGGAAATGTACAGTGGAGTGGATTTTGTGGTCAGTTTTAAATTGGTGATTGGGTAATTCCAATTTAATAAAATATGACCTTTTGTATTGCACCGTACAGTACATAAAACATTGTTTGTACTGCATCGTACAGTACGTAAAACATTTTTTGGTATCATTCCCCAGTGTTCATAAGATATTTGTTTATTTTGTTGCACGAGTTACACAAAGAGTGGGCGTTTGGCAGAAGCGTCGCTAGGTGCTTAAAAGATTCGGGCCCATAGGCGCAGGAATTTTGCGTTTCAGCATGATATTGATCATGGATTTCTATTCTGATCTTTCAGAACACCAACTGGGGATCCATTCACTGTCAAATAGAATCGGGGCACGAGCTCCATGTGCCAGCGCCTAGCGAAACCTCTGGTGTTTGGCATTATTCCACATTACTTAAGGGAGGTCTGGTGTTTGGTACTGTTCTTTGTAATACATATGAAAACAGTGTTTAGTATTGGTCTTTCCGATACCACACACAAAAAAACTGGCACTGTTTCCTATTATACATAAGAAAATATGGAGTTTTGCGCTATTTCTTATGGCATATAAAACGAAAAAAATAGTGTTTTGTACTGTTCTTTGTAATACATTTGAAAACACGTTGTTTGCTATTGTTCTCGGTTATGAACAAGAAAATATGGTGTTTAGTGCTATTTCTTATGCATATAAAACAAAAAAAAATAGTGTTTTGTACTGTTCTTTGTAATACATTTGAAAACACGTTGTTTGCTACTGTTCTCGGTTATGAACAAGAAAATATGGTGTTTAGTGCTATTTCTTATGGCATATAAAACAAAAAAATAGTGTTTTGTACTGTTCTTTGTAATACATTTGAAAACACGTTGTTTGGTACTGTTCTCGATTATGAACAAGAAAATATGGTGTTTAGTGCTATTTCTTATGGCATATAAAACAAAAAATAGTGTTTTATATAGTGTAGAAGAGAATACATTTCCTTGTACAATACTTAAAAACAACAACATAGTATTTGATACTAATCTCTGTAGGTCATAAAAAGTTAGTGTGTGGTTCTGTTCCCCATAATATATACATGAAAATATATGGTGCTTGGCACTCTTCTCTGTATTACATGCGAAAACATGATGTTTAAAAAATGTTCTTTACAATGAGTAATCAAACATATACATTTTAGTTTTTTCTTAAGATTCAACTTTATTTATTACTTCCTCCTGCCCGCTCCACGTGTGTTGTAAAATGACAGAGGGGTTAGGTGTGTTAGACACACCCCTTAGTATGTTTACTATATTCTTTTTCTTTTCGTTACATTTAACTTGGTTATATTTTAATGTTGTCTCTGTATTCTAGCTATTTATTGGACGATTCTGTTATTAATTTGTGTTCTCATTTTCTTTTTATCTTTAAACGTTAGTTTGTCTTTTGGACTATCTGTACTGTCCTGCTACCTAACCCCATATTCATTGTAAGAACACGAGTGCAAGCAAGGGAGAATGTGTTACGGTATATTAACCATACATCTGCCAAATCCAGTGCTAACGAGGGTTTTCGCACAATACCAGAGATCTTCAGGCCGGCTAGGTTACGAAAGACAAAGCATTGGTCTAGTCGCTAAATATATCATCGACTTTCCTGAACAACAACTGTTATGGTGCGAACCAGAACCAGACTAAGCAATTGAATTTCAAGAATTACATATTTTACTTAAGTCATTTACAAATTAGACTTTTAGGGTAAGAATTGATAACACAAAATTATTTATTTTATGTATAGCTTTTTTTTTATAACCGAGTATTTATCTAGATAATAATTTATCTCAGATATTAAAATAAAGTTACACTGTCGGAGCTTTTATTGGCCACAAGACATTGACAGAGAGTGTTGTGAAAAGTTTGCGTAATACTGATGTCAACAATAGTACTTAAAGTAAACTACAAGCGTATGTGTACCGTGAATAAACTATACTTGTTATTTTAATTAAAAGTATTGGTTAGAATGTTTAATTCTTCTATTTTTATTTTCCGTATTTTTATCTTGACATATGCGGGTTTTAGTACTAACTTAAATCTTCTCAGCTGGCCGAATCTCGAAAATTATTATTGGGATTATGGCCGAAAATATCATTAACAGCGAGGGCACTTAACTGGAGAAAAGATACATTTTAATCCTTATAAACAATAACGTAAGAGCAGCATATTTAATTAGCTATATTCATGACCGGATTAATGTTTAGTTATGATCCATGAATGTAGCTAAATTTCTTTTGATTAGAATTAATTAATTAATCTTAATTGCTTTGGGTATTCTTCTCGATAATACACATAGAAGTATGGTAATTGGTATTGTTCTCAGTAATAAAAAAGGAACTGTTTTTGGTATTGTTTCCTGTAATGGATAAAAAATATTACTGATATTTTTTTCTATAGTACCTAAAACATAGTATTTCATACTGTTGTAGTACACGATAAAACAGTGTTTGGTAATGATCTCTTTTAATGTGGGTGAAAACATTTTTGGTATTATTCTCTAAAGTACGTAAGAAGTCATGATGTTTGTTAATGTTCTCTTTTGTACACCAGGAAAACATTTTTGTATTGTTCTCAAAATAAAGCATGGTTTAGCAGTATTTCTTATAACATATGAGGAAAATATAGTTTGTTGCTGTTTTATACAACAGGCAAAAAATATTGTATTTTTCTCTAAAAATATACAATAAAACGTAGTTTTTGGAGAGATCCCTGAAACATTTAATGACTGTACTAGAAGTTTAGTATACAATTAATGATAGAAACTATAGAACTGCAGTAGAAATATCGAGCTGAATAACTATAAAGACAAAAGGGCGTATTTCTAAAGTTAAGTAATAAAAAGCAAGTAATCCTTCGAGTGGTAATGACATCGACTAAATTTACGATAACAATTAGTCCACAAATTGACACTATTATGACTGAAAATCAAATAAAACCAGTAACTCATTGTTTTTACCAGGTCTGTCAAGGAGTTGAACCGCTGTGGCTGGAAAGTAACCTGTTTGAGATGTGTGGTTCTTTTGATAAATAATCCCTTTCCAACGTCCATCCGAACACTGCTGTAAGACCTGGTAAAGAAAGAAAACACTTTTATTCGCTGCTTTCTCTCAAAACATATACGAATAGTGGTATGAGATCTTGTAGATAGAGAGATTAAATACTGGTCACTAATCCGGTATTTACATAAATACCGATGTAAGACTTAATAAGTAAATGAGGGAAAGTCCTCATTGACTGGCTACCATTTTACCGTCTATTAAAATGCTACTGTCAGGCCTAGAGAAAGGAAAAAAAACATTGTAATGAATACGCTGTAAGACCTAATAATGCAAAAACAAATACTTTTATTAGAGTACTCTTCCAACGTTCATCGAAATGCTGCTCGAAGTCAGAGGAGAGAAAAAATAAACTGATTTATTGACATTGATGAGAAATTCAAAGATAAAAAAAAAGGAAACAGACAAAAAAGGAAATCGTTTTATTTATTCTACCAAACAGAGCGATAGATCTAACTCGTAAATAAAACCAAATAGTCACTTTCTTATTAAATGTTATAGTATCTAAGGCAGAAACTGAAACTGGCTGACTGAAGTGCTAGCTAACTTAGTAATCAACCGACAACACCGTAATAAACTAACTATCTAACTAGCTCAGTAATCAACCAACAACACCGTAACAAACTATCTAACTAGCTCAGTAATCAACCGACAACACCGTAACAAACTATCTAACAAGCTCAGTAATCAACCGACAACACCGTAATAAACTAACTATCTAACTAGCTCAGGCCCCCTAGTAGCACAGCGGTATGTCTGAGGACTTACGACGCTAAAAATTGGGTTTCGATACCCGTGGTGGGCAGAGCACAGATAGCCCATTGTGTAGCTTTGTGCTTAGTTCCAAACAAACAAACAAGCTCAGTAATCAACCGACAACACCGTAACAGACTAATTATCTAACTCACTAATCAATCACAACTCTCGTATTTTTATATTTCCCCAAGTATCTAGAATATTCAAGACGTCACGTGCACGTCACATTAAATCAAGACACTCTGGAAATTTCTAGGCGTTATACAACATACCAAAACTCTATCTAGCAAACAATGCAAACGTTTAAATTGAAACACTATTACGTACTTCACGATACTATCTATTAGATCTAATACAACCGGTAGTTTACAAATAAACCAACATGAACAAAGTTACATCTCTGGGGGGTTCCAGTTCCTTATCTCTTGTCGACTACTCATTTCTAATGGATAGGTTTTATAAAAGTCAAGTCAACCTATATACTTAACTATAATAGTTAAGTGTTTAGTCAATTTTACTTACTTATGAAAAGATGAATTTTCTTTCTTAACCAGAAAAAGTTTAACTGCTACTTTTTTGCTTTTTACATACGAATAAATGGTAGAATAGGTAATGACTTTAAAAAAGTCTATTTATGCTGAAACTGTAGAAGTACAAAATCTGATACATTAAATTACAAACGATTAGAACAACTAAGGATGGAGTTGGGATGTCCGAAATAAGCGTTTAAAAATCAACATCAAAAACTGTCTAACAATAGATATCTTGCCTACGTAGGAAGATTCTGTTTTTTGAGAAAAAAAAATAAAAGAATCAAAGCTGTTTGAAAGACCTTATGGAAGTGTGAAAAATAAAAATTTCTATTATTTCTTCTTTTACGGCTTTCTTTCCACTGGAAACTTCTTCCACTCTACCCTTTGTTGGCTCTATCAAGCACCAGTTCTTCTGATGATGCCAATGTGCGTGTGCTATCACAGAGCCAGTCAGGCGGACCATCAGTTACATCAGTCAGCATCAGCGAAGTGCCTTACGGATCACAGGAATTATCTTATTGTTGAAACTTTTCTATTAAAGTTTTCTTATCTGATTTGTTCTAAACACAGAAATGCAATTATCAGTTCTATGAAAAAAATAAAGATGGAAGAAAAGAATAGCTTTTGATATATTTAATATTCAACAACCAAACTATCTGTAGGAGTTGGATAGTTATTTTTAAATGAAGAATAAAATGTAACACCCGTCAAGGAGGAAAAACGTAATCTTTATACTCAGTAGAACAACAAACTGTTAATTTAGCAAAATTCTTAATTTAAATAAGAGTACAACGAATTAAAGAAAGTGTACCGTGGTTCCTTATTCGAAGTCCTTTTTTTTGTAATCTTTTCATGGTTGAAAACCAGGTCATATTTGAATACAGAGTTTTGCATAGCATGAATATAAAGAAATTTAATTAAAACAAGCCATAGAAACCGGAAATCATATTGTAATATGGCACCAGTTTCTTTTTATTGTTCTAAATGTAACTCAACATGATTAAACACTACAGATTGTACTACCACGTATAAAATATTTATGCCAAAATATAAAAATCCCCAAAAAGAACACTGCTGATATTTCCACATCAATATATTGTCTCAGTCTACTATTTCAAATAGTACACGTATACAGTTAAGAAATTTCAAATTTTCTCTGTTAATTAAAAGGGAAAAATCACGAAGGGCCAATCTTTCTCCAACTTGAAATTATCTAGGTCTATTTGAATCAGATCAAGAGAAAGGTATGTCGAAGGAAATTAGAATAGTTTTCAAATGTCTAAAAATTTTAGTCCTTAGAAAATTTATTAAAACCTATATGATGGCTGGAGCATGAGTGCTCTTGTGTATACACACAGCACTTTGAGTTGTACTTAATACAACACGAACGTTTGTTTGTTTGAATTTCGCGCAAAGCTACAGCTTGGTGTAACTGACCGTATATTTAATTCTGCAAGGTAGTAGTACGTATTCCAGGACATTGCATAATAAACACTTAAAAAAAGTGAAGAAACTGCAGCTGATAATTTCACGCTTTACTTCGTAGTTGTTTTACTGTGTCATCTCC